GGTTTTTATCATACATACAATTACCCTTAGTTAATATATACACAAATAAAACCCCAAAATTCTTCAGCGGAAAAAACAAATGCACAACGACCATTTATCTTTAGGTGTTCTTATTTATTATATTGCAGGTTTATTTTACAATAAACATTCTTGTCAGAAGGATGTCCTTCTTAAAAGGATGTTCCATGGTAGCGTGCGGAGGAGCGGGGGCGTTTCTGTATTAAATACTTATAACATAAGGTCAAAGAATTAGTTTTTTTGTACTTTTAACGAATGCTCAGCGGCAGATTCCACCAGTAAGTATTAATCTCTATTTTCCACTACTTATTTGATAATGCTAGCTTATTTGATAAAGTTATGTCGATTTTAAACTCCGGAAAGAATGATGAAATAAAATTATGGCAAAACAATGTTGACTCTCGTGCTGTTAGGGTGTGTGTGCTTCGGAGCACTAGTATCCGGTTCAGGTCCAGGTTCGTGCACCGGAGCTGGATCATGTTCCGGACAGGGTTCAGGATCGGGGACAGGAACGTGTACTGGATCTAATTCCTGTTCAGGAGCGAACAGCGGTGGAGGCACGGGGTCGTGCACTGCAGCCGGTTCGTGCAGCGGACCCCGAAGCGGCGGAGGCACGGGTTCTTGCACTGCAGCAAATTCGTGTGCTGCTCCGGACTCGGGCATGTGTACCGGTTGTTGTACAGTTGCAAATTCATGTTCTGGACTGTATAGTATGATTCGGGTGTGAATTATTTAATAAAAAATCAAAATTCTATTAAAGTGTTTGTTTTGATATAAAATTTTATTATTATAAATGTATATTTTCTCCTTCTCATATATATATGACAAAGGACGAACAAAAATATTGTCTTTAAAAACGAGGTTGCGATGCTGACGTCACTCACCTTGTTATTTATAAATTTAAAGATAATTAAAATGATTGTAGAGATCAAAATGATAAGTCGTTTTACTTTAAACTATTATAATTTTACTAATCACTTTAAACTAATAAACCAATTAATAATAAACAAATTAACACTATAATTATTTAAACCTATCCTAAATACTTGTCTGTTAGATTAAGTAAAAACAGCCAGTCCTCTGTACCAGGTAAACGCCCGAGCAAAAGTGAGTGTGCCTCCCCATCGTCCACCCTCCTCTCGGTCGCCGCTTTCCCGCCATATTAGCTTAAACATAGCGCCCTCTTTTGATCAGAAGTACTATGTTCAAACTTTACAATTGTTATTTATTTTTATAAATGCTTATCCTTATTAGTTTATAAAAATTATTTATAGTTTAATTTACTATAAAATAAGAGGAAATACATTAAAGAACTTTAAAGGTCCACCATATTAATTTAAACGTTACACTCTCTTTTAATCGGAAGTGCTATGTTTAAGCTTTATAATAATAATTATTTTTATAAATGCTCACACTTAATAAGTTTATAAAATTATTGATATATTTAATATACGATAAAATAAGAGGAAATACGAACTTAATAATTTATTATTTTAATTTTAACATTTATGAGCTTATAATATTATTGATAATTTAATTTACCATAAAATAACTGGAAATTAAAAACAATAGTTATTTAACAGCAATTGAAAACGCTACAAATTATTTAAATATGAAAAGTTACATTAGAAATTGAATTTATTATTATTTATTATAATTTTAAACTATGAATTTATTCTAAATATGATTAATTAACGACGCCACGCCGATATATATATATATAGTACCTGGGCTACGCGTTTTCTCAGACATAACACTAATCTAGATCGATTTATCGCCCCCGAAGCCCCTGTATACTAAATTACATGAAAATCGTTGGAGCCGTTTTCGAGATTCATTACCAAAAAAAAATTGTATTATTATTCGCCAATAGATGTCAGAAAGAGTCATTTTTCAGTTTAAGTGGCAACATTAGGACTACCCAAACGCCACCTTTTTATTATTTTTTTCCAATAAAAAAAAAATAAGTTTATGTTTTCGTTGATTATCGATAAAGTTGATTATTGAAAATACGAATAAAACGAAATTATCTAAAAATACCTGGGCCACCGAGCTTTGCTCGGAGTTTTTGGTCAATAGTACAATTTTCTTTAAAAAAAAAAACAAAAACCTTGAAGAAATATTAAAAAAATACAAAAGTAAAATCTTCGTATCCGAACAGTATACGAACCCAGACACCTGTGGTTGTCAAACATCCGTCTTAGCCGCTTGATCTTGATGCTTATGTCCTAGTGTACGAAATTATCGAACATAACATTTTGAGTGGAATAATGCAAAAGAAAACTGCATGAAAATTCGAAAACACGTGTTTTACCAGATATAAAACTAATTTAGATCGATTTATCGCCCCCGAAACCCTCTGTATACTAAATTCCATGAAAATCGTTGGAGCCGTTTCCGAGATTCAGATTATATATTGATATATAAATATATATATATGTACAAGAATTGCTCGTTTAAATATATTAGTTTAGATAGATATATAGATATTACTTTCTTATTTAAAAATAAAGACTTAATCGCGTTTCTGAAACAATAATAGAAAATACATTTAATTTACAGAATATTTGTAATTTAATATATGAATAATTATTCTATTAAATGCCAAAAAGAAATAAAAGGTTAAAAGTAAATTTGGAATAAATTAAAAAGTATTTGTTGTTACTTGTCCTGACTGCTTCATCAACGCTGAGCCTAAACTACAGGTGTGAATAACTTGTTTTTTTTTCAATTGATGCATTTTACAATCTAAAAGTCCACTAAGAAAAATTTTTGGAAATTCCACCTGTAAAGGGGTAAAATAAGGGCTGTTTTTTTTTATTTTCATACAAATTTGCCTTTGCCTGACATTAAATTATAATGTGAAATGAACGAAAAAGGAATATTTAGCTTTAAAATAAAACCTACCTAGGATACCTTTTACTTCAAGAAAATCTTTCTTTCTTACGTTAAGATACAATAACTGGATTTATCGAGTCCTCCCTAGAAACCTTCCGCTGGCTAAACCTTAAGACATACATACATAAAAACAATATATTAAAAATTGTAGGTCTTGAAAAGTCCTACAGGAAAGTTCTGAATAGTATATGTATATCTCCTAAGCAATATCTAGCTATACCTATAATAAAACTAACTTAGTCAAATCGATGTGCGCGTTTTACGCAAAAAGTACTGAACCGATTTTAACTAAATTTGGTATAGTGATAACTTAGTACTCGGGTCAACATTTTGAATACCTTTTACGACAGGCAAATTATTAATTCCCACGGGAAAACACAATAACAGCTGGTTCTATCGAATTGTCCTTAGAAATTGATATGGCTAACGCTGGCTCAACCTTAAGGGATATATCAAAACATTGTACAAGAAAATTGTAAGTCTTAAAAAGGTCGATAGGAAAGTTCTCCATAGTATATGTCTATCTCCTAAGGTACACTCGCTATAACTATTTTCATTATTATATATTACTGTTTTATTATACGTTATTTATTCTATCTATCTATACTATAATAAAACAGTAGAGGTCGAATATCTGTACATAGCAAAGAAATGCTAAAAACCGAGTCAGGGGGTGTAAGAAGACAAATAGAAAAAATCCAGTTTTTTTTCAATTTTTTTGTTTCTGTGTCTGTTTGTACGGGCTAATCTCCAAATCTATCAAACCGATTTAAATGAAATTTTGCATGGTGGTGCCTTATATCCCCAGACAACATCTGAGATACTTTTTATCCCGGAAAATTAAATAGTTCCCGTGGGATAGTTAAAATACTACAGTATCTTACACAACAACTTATGCACCTAATGTAGTAAAATTTAACATTCTGATGCCTTATATTGGCAGTCAAACAACAGGTTACTTTCCATCCCGGAAAAATGAACGGTTCCCGTGGGAACTAATAGATCTCTTTTGCTTTATAAAGCACAGGTTCGCCCTCTCATGGAGTACTGTTCTCATTTCTGGGCCGGCGCCCCCCAATACCAGCTTCTTACATTTGACTCTATCCAACGCCGGGCTGTTCGTATTGTCAACGATCCCGTACTCACAGACGACTTAGACACTTTAAGCCTTCGGAGAGATGTTGGCTCTCTGTGTGTTTTCTATCGTCTATACATTAGAGAGTGTTCTGATGAACTTTTTGACATGGTGCCACCGTCGCGCTTCTATCATCCCGTAAGAAGAAAAATAGAACAAATCCAGATTTTTTCATTTTTTTTTGTTTCTCTGTCTGTTTGTCTGTTTGTACGGGCTAAGCTTTTCATTCCGGAAAATTAAAGAGTTCCCGTGGGATAGTTAAATAACTATAGTAACTTATACAGCTTAGTACACAACAGTACAAGCAGTACAACTTAGTACGCAACTTATGCATTACTTTAGGTGTTCTTATTTATTATATTGCAGGTTTATTTTACAATAAACATTCTTGTCAGAAGGATGTCCTTCTCAAAACGTAATTTTAATAAAAGACAGTAATTATTTTGTATAATTTTAAATAAACGTAATATTACGCAAGTATTCATGAATGAGCCAGTCAATGTATTGAAGAGTGAATAGATAAAGGTATAAAGATAACTCTATATCTATAAATGGTTTCGGGATGTTTTTTTTTCCAATTTATATGGAAGTTTTTTTATAATTCTAGGTCGATAAACTCGAAAATTGGTACACATACCCTTTTACTAAAATTATGAGACACGTGTATCACACTGCTTTCAAAATCTTCCCCCAGCAGAGACAAATAGCAATAGGGCTTCGAAAATCCTACAAGGCATGGTAGCGTGCGGAGGACCGGGGGCGTTTCTATGTTAATTACTTAAAACATATGGTCCAAGAATTTGTTTTTTTGTACTTTTAACGAAAGCTTAGCGGCAGATTCCACTAGTAATAAATAATCTCTTTTTTCCACTACTTATTTGATAATGCTAGCTTATTTGATAAAGTTATGTCGATTTTAAACTCCGTAAAGAATGATAAAATAAAATTATGGCAAAACAATGTTGACTCTCGTGCTGTTAGGGTGTGTGTGCTTCGGAGCACTAGTATCCGGTGCAGGTCCTGGTTCGTGCACCGGAGCTGGATCATGTACTGGACAGGGTTCAGGATCGGGGACAGGAACGTGTACTGGACCTAATTCCTGTTCAGGAGCGAACAGCGGTGGAGGCACGGGTACGTGCACTGGAGCCGGTTCGTGCAGTGGACCCCGAAGCGGCGGAGGCACGGGTTCTTGCACTGGAACCAATTCGTGTGCTGCTCCGGACTCGGGCATGTGTACCGGATGTTGTACAGTTGCAAATTCCTGTTCTGGATTGTATAGTATCATTCGGGTGTAAATTATTTAATACAAAATCAAAATTCTAATAAAGTGTTTGTTTTGATATAAAATTTTATTACTATAAATCTCTATCTATATCTTCTTCTTCTCATATACACACACCTATATATATAAATATTTTCTTTATAATATTTTTATATTCAATAAGATTTGTCAAAAAATTTTTATGTACAAATTAGACTTTTGTTATAATTAATAGTAATTGCGAAAAGACCACCAGGTAAATTTCTAAGAAATTAATTAAAATTCTAAGAAATCTATTGTTAACTGACACGCCAGCGTGTCCGCGGTCGTGGAGGGATTAATAATGTTGCCTTATCAAAACATTTAAGAAAACTCCAGGACGAGCTTTCGTTAGCCAGACTCTACCACGATGACAAAGTCTCTACTAATATTATTTTGTATTGCTATTATTATATTATGTATAATCACAAAGAATATTAAAATATAAAAATATTTATTATTTATTTAAGCAATACTATTGTTTTATATGTAATTTAAAATATTAATTTAGTTTGCTATTATTTAAAGTTACAATATTAAACGTGTACTATTTGTTTTAATTGTAACATATCCTTACGATTCATGAACCATGTTAATTGTCGAATGATACCTCTAATTGAGGCGCCGTATGCTATAGTAGTGTCTATAGATGTAATCGAATACATAAAATTATGATAACATTAGGATTTCTGTTGTTTGACCCTCAGACCCTGGGTACTTTTTTTTTGGTCTGAGATTTCGACCATTCTTTTTCCAGTTACAATAAATGGGGCTGTCACTGTCATCCGGGATATATTCCTACAAAATGTGTTTGGAAAAAAAACATCATTAACGGTTCAAAAAACCTGACTTCGACAAATATTAATATTATTAAAAAAAAATTACGAGTATATGCTTTCCGAAAAACAGTAGTAGTACAGGTAGGCTATAATTTATTTTATTTATTTACGAAAATAATTCCATCATAAAAAATATTGGCCAAATCTGAAATCGCAAGGCAAATGAATCCCACAGAGTTCTATCTTTTCAAAAATATGAACTAATTCTACCCGTCACTTTAATATTGGATTGCACGATAATTTTAAATGATTAAAATGTAATATTTTGTACTGATTTCAGTAAAATAAATGTTTATTTTTTTGTATATTGTATGCATGTATTTAGTGAGAAATTAAATTTAAAAAATATATTTTTGTCATAATGAGTTGTATATTTTTATACCCAATTATTTTAACACGTTCAAATTTTTACACATTTTACTAAAAAGGCGACTTTAATAACACAAAAGTAATTATGGTTTTAGAATGTTTTTTTTTAGGGGGCGTTTCTGTATTAAATAAGGTGAGAGAATTTGTTTTTTTGTACTTTTAACGAAAGCGTAGCGGCAGATTTCGCTAGTAATAAATAACCTCTTTTTTGCACTACTTATTTGATAAGGCTAGCTTATTTGATAAAGTTACGTCGATTTCGCACTTCGCAAAGAATGATAAAACAAAATTATAGCAAAACAATGTTGACTCTCGTGCTGTTAGGGTGTGTGTGCTTCGGAGCACTAGTATCCGGTGCAGGTCCAGGTTCGTGCACCGGAGCTGGATCATGTTCTGGACAGGGTTCAGGATCGGGGACAGGAACGTGTACTGGAGCCAATTCCTGTTCAGGAGCGAACAGCGGCGGAGGCACGGGTACGTGCACTGGAGCCGGTTCGTGCAGCGGACCTCGAAGCGGTGGAGGTACGGGTTCTTGCACTGGAGCCGATTCGTGTGCTGCTCCGGACTCGGGCATGTGTACTGGTTGTTGTACAGTTGCAAATTCATGTTCTGGAATTTATAGTATAATTCGGGTGTGAATTATTCAATAAAAAATGAAAATTATAATAAAATGTTTGTTTTGTTATAAAAAAATTTTTTCTTCTTATCTGTTGTGTCTTGACTGTTTCACCAACGCAGAGCCTAAACTACAGGGGTTAAAAACTTGGCAGTTGATGCATTGAAAGGATTTTTGGAAATTTCAACCGTAAAGGGGTAAAATAAGGGATGAAATTTGTATAAAAGCCGGACATTTATAATGTGAAATGAAAAAGTAATATTTAGCCCTAAAATAAAAAGTGAAAAAATACGTAGGTACTATATTAAGTTTTTTTTGAAATTCGTCCCTTAAAGAGGTAAAGGAGGTGATAAAGAAAAAATGTTTATGATCAGAATTAATTAAAACTTAACATTAACGCTCTTCAATAAAATTAAATAAACATGTGTTTTAGAACTTTACGAAATTCATCTTATTAGGGCATAAAAAAGGGGATGAAAGATTGTATGACACTCCGCCGTTCTTAATGTGAAATGCACGGAAAGTGGCATTTAAGTAAATGAAAAATAAAACAATAAGTATATCAGATTTTTTTTAAATTCATCCCTTAAAGTTAATGTAGGCAAAAAATATTTATGATCAGAATTCCTTAAAACTTGGTATCAATGCACTTCAGTGTAATTAAATAAATCCGTGTTTTAGCATTTTTTGAAATTCGTCGTTCGAAAACTACATCAGGAATTCTACTTCTAAATTATAAAAATAACACTAAATATTAATTTTTATGTATAGTATTTAAAAATATCTAATATTATAAAATATTATAAGTACACAAACGATTTCCTATCGTTATTCATTATTGTCTTAGTACCGGCAATCGAGCTTCATGTAGAGATATAAATTGCGTTTTTTCAGAAAAGGCACCTAAATACATATACTATAGATTTTTTGAGTGGAAATCTAATTAATTTTCTAAAATAAAAGTAGCCTAAGTTAGTCCTCATAACATCAGCTATAGGTCAGTGAAAGTCCCGTCAATATCAGTCCAGCTGTTTCGGAGTTCGGAGTTGGAGAGAGACAGGCAAAATTTTAAAAATTGAGTTTGTACTGTATAAACTTTTATATGCGTTAAGTAAAAAGCTGTTATTTTAACATTTTAACATTTTTTTATTTTTTAACATTTATTACGAAAAGACACTTCGATTTTATATATATGTATAGATAATATAATTATCACTATTATAAAAATGTTATGTTAATGATGTTTAAAGATAAAAAATTAATAATAATATTATTTTTTACCTAAAAAAATGCTGATAAAATTATTATTGTGTAAATATAAACCTGTTCCAGATAATTTGTGTAGGTGAATTTCAACACTGAATTAAGATTAAATACGTCAACCTTATACTGTATTTAGAGTAGGTATCTTAAGGAAGTAAATTTATTTAAAAAAAACGGAGTGTCTATTCGTTCTTTAATAATATTAATTTCCAAAAAATATTTTTCTCAGAGATAAGAATAAATTACCCACAATAAAAGTATCCTATGTATTAACCCGGGTAAGCTGCTATCACTATACTAAACATCTAAATCCGTTCTGTGGTTCTGTATCGATAATAATGACTATTTCAATAAGATTTGCTAGATAGAATAAATAAATGTGTTGGGACATTAACACACAGCGCCATCTAGTTCCATGGTAAGCTACGAGGCCTGTGTTATGGATACCAGGTAGTTAATACATACACTACACATATATAACTTTAAATACATACATAATATTATAAATATAAACATCCATGACTGGAGGACAAACATTCGTGTTCATTACACATAAATACTTATAACATAAGGTCATAGAATTAGTTTTTTTGTACTTTTAACGAAACCGTAGCGGCAGGTTCCGCTAGTAACAAATAACCTCTTTTTTCCATTACTATAAAGTTATGTCGACTTCGCACTCCACAAAGAATGATAAAACAAAGTTATGGCAAAACAAAATTATGGCAAAACAAAATTATGGCAAAACAATGTTGTCTCTCGTGCTGTTAGGGTGTGTGTGCTTCGGAACACTAGTGTCCTGTACAGGTACAGGTTCGTGCACCGGAGATGGTGCATGTACTGGACAGGGTACGGGATCGGGGACAGGAACGTGTACTGGACCCTATTCCTGTTCAGGAAGGAACAGCGGCGGAGGCACGGGGTCGTGCTCTGGAGCCGGTTCGTGTAGAGGACCCGGAAGCGGCGGAGGTACGGGTTCTTGCACTGGAACCGATTCGTGTGCTGCTCCGTACTCGGGCATGTGTACTGGTTGTTGTACAGTTGCATATTCATGTTCTTGAATTTATAGTATCATGCGGATGTGAACTATTCAATAAAAAATCAAAATTCTAACAAAATGTTTGTTTTGTTATAAAATTTTGTTACTATAAATTTCTATCTATATCTTTTTCTTTTTCTTCAATAAAATTAAATAAACAAGATTTTAGAAGTTTTCGAAATTCATCCAATTAAGGGATGAAAGATTTAATGATATGTAACTCTGCCGTTCTTGATGTGAAATACATGGAAAGTGGTATTTAAGTTTAAAATTAAATTTAAATTTTAAATTAAAAGTAAAGCAATAAGTATATCAGATTTTTTTGAAATTCATGTCTTAAAGGAGTAAAAGTTAAAATGGCAAAAAATTATTTATGATTAGAATTCCTTGAAACTTGGTATCAATGCTCTTCAGTACAATTTAATAAATACTTACGTGTTTAAGCATTTGTCGAAATTCCTCGCATATGGGGGTAAAGTTTTTTTTACAATCAACAATTGTGTTCAAATGAGTAGGTAATCTTATTTATATAGTTACGAGTATTTTTGTATAAATAAACAACTATGTAATTTGTATGTCGATCGGAGCATATCTAGGCATGAGTGTTTTAGAACCGCAGAGTGGACAAACATTAAAAAAAACATTTTCCTTTTGGGTCAAGAACCTTTGATGTTTACTTACTCTTAAAGGTTGATAGATATTTAGATATATTTGTATAGATATAAATTTTTATTTATCACAGTAATTAGTAAGATTAGTTCAATAAATCCTTACCATATCAAATATCTCTATTACCGTCTAATACACAGATAAGTAAAGTAAAAGGTGTTAGTGACGACAACTGTTTATTACATTGCGTTTGGGTGTTTTTCCCTCATACATTAATTACGCTATGACGAAAAATCTTTTCCAAAAAAACCAGCTCAACTACACAAATACAGCGGCAAAAATACATATAATACTTTTTTTTTCTATTTATAAATTTGTTTGGTATGTTATTGAAGGTCATAAAGATCTGTAGCAGCGTGATTGTAAGATTGGTCGCTGATTCATTTCCTGCACTAATGTGAATTAATAATTATATGGTACTCGTATATACCCGCCCCCCCCCCCCCCCCTCATATATTTAAGAGATATACGACTTCTAAAATCTTAAAGTCTTAGTCTCGATTGCTGTAAATTGTATCAGCATTCGAAATCGTCGTGAATCAAACCTCAAACTATATCCCTAAAACAGTCCGCCCCCGCAGATAGGTATATACATACTTATATATGAATTGTATCACTCAACTACAGCTTTTTTCTCCCATGCTCTGAATCCTATGCTAATTAATATTTAAATAGACAGTTTAACAAGTACACTATAAAACTAGTCATACATTTTAATATCATTATTACAATTATTTATTTATATTTTAAAATAAGTTGGTTAATGAGTCATAGTTGACATTCTTATATTAATATTAAGAAAGCTAAAAATAAAGAACATTTAAGGACTTAAGATAGTGCTATAAAATCTGATGAGAAAATGTCAACAAAAGTAAAATATTAGTACATATTTTGAATGTTGGAGCAATCAACCTTACACACTTGAGACACAAGAAAAATGAGACATAAGACAAAGATAAGGATAGTTTACAAAGGAATTTCTTAATTCTTTGACCTTTACAATTATACCAGCATATGTATATTATGTGATTTATGATGGTTAAATGAAATAAGTGTCCTGTGTCCTTGCACTATACTGTGTAGAGATACTAGTATAGTATTATATGATCTGTGGTAGAGGTTACCTATTAAACGTAATTTGTTTACTGAAAATTAATATAAGAGCAATACTTTAAAAACACATCCTCCTTAAAAATAATTTTAATTAAACGCAGTATTTTTTAGTCTCATTTAAAAGTATAATTTAAAATTAACATAATATTATGATGCAAGTATGCATGAGTCAGTCAAAGTGTTGAAGAGTGAATATAATATAAATAATTAGGATAACTTCAGTTTTACTACTTTTTTACCAGTACAAAATTGGTACACGTGCGGGTTGGCAGACTTCATATGATGTCTTTTGAAAATTTGCTAGGTCTCTCAGACATGCAGGTTCTCCTCACGATGTTTTCCTTCACCTTTAAGACATGTGGAAGTTAATATAAAACATGTCAGATAAAACAATAAAACATGTTGGAAATGATTCGCACAATAAAATATCACAGGTGCGATACCCGGGATTGAACCCGCTTCACTCGGTTTCCCAAGCGAGCGCGTTACCACTGAGCTACCACTGTCCATTATTAATTACTTCTAACAAAAAGGCGAAAACATTGCTTTTTTTTATACATAGTTTGAACGCGAGCGCAGCCCCAAATTCCGCTTGTAATAAATTAAGTAGTTTTTTTCGTTGTTTAAGGCTAGCTATTTGACAAGTTTATGTCGAGTTTTTACTCTGCAAAGAATGATAAAACAAAATTATGGCAAAACAATGTTGTCTCTCGTGCTGTTAGGGTGTCTGTGCTTCGGAACACTAGTGTCCTGTACAGGCACAGGTTCGTGCACCGGAGATGGTGCATGTACTGGACGGGGTTCGGGATCGGGGACAGGAACGTGTACTGGAGCCAATTCCTGTTCAGGAGCGTACAGCGGCGGAGGTACGGGTTCTTGTACTGGAACCGATTCGTGTGCTGCTCCGTACTCGGGCATGTGTACTGGTTGTTGTACAGTTGCAAATTCATGTTCTTGAATTTATAGTATCATTCGGATGTGAACTATTCAATAAAAAATCAAAATTCTAACAAAATGTTTGTTTTGTTATAAAATTTTGTTACTATAAATTTCTATCTATATCTTTTTCTTTTTCTTCTTTTATATATATACACACATATATATATATATATATATATATAAATGTATATATATGTATATATATATGTGTATATATATATATATATTCACTCTTCAATAAAATTAAATAAACAAGATTTTAGAATTTTTCGAAATTCATCCAATTAAGGGATGAAAGATTTAATGATATGTAACTCTGCCATCTTCATGTGAAATACATGGAAAGTGGTATTTAAGTTTAAAATTAAATTTAAATTTTAAATTAAAAGTAAAGCAATAAGTATATCAGATTTTTTTGAATGGGCAAAAAATAATTTATGATTAGAATTCCTTGAAACTTGGTATCAATGCTCTTCAGTACAATTTAATAAATACTTACGTGTTTAAGCATTTGTCAAAATTCCTCGCATATGGGGGTAAAAGTTTTTTACAATTAACAATTGTTCAAAATGAGTAGGTAATCTTATTTATATAGTTACGAGTATTTTTGTATAAAATAAAACAACTATGTAATTTTGTATGTCGTTCGGGAGCATATCTAGGCATGAGTGTTTTAGAACCGCAGAGTGGACAAACATTAAAAAAAAACATTTTCCTTTTGGGTCAAGAACCTTTGATGTTTACTTACTCTTAAAGGTTGATAGATATTTAGATATATTTGTATAGATAAGATATTAATTGTATAGATAGATATAAATTTTTATTTATCACAGTAATTAGTAAGATTAGTTCAATAAATCCTTACCATATCAAATATCTCTATTACCGTCTAATACACAGATAAGTAAAGTAAAAGGTGTTAGTGACGACAACTGTTTATTACATTGCGTTTGGTGTTTTTCCCTCATACATTAATTACGCTATAACGCAAAATCTCAAAAAAACCAGCTCAACTACACAAATACAGCGGCAAAATACATATAATACTTTTTTTTCTATTTATAAATTGTGTTATGTTATTGAAGGTCATAAAGATCTGTAGCAGCGTGATTTGTAAGATTAGTCGCTGATTCATTTCCTGCACTAATGTAAATTAATAATTATATGGGTACCCGTATATACCCGTTCATATATTTAAGAGAATATTAGACGTCTAAAATCTTAGTCTCTTGATTGCTGTAAACTGTAAAGCATTCGAAACGTCGTAAATCAAAAATCTAAATAAATCCCTAGAAAGTCCGCAAAGAGAGATATATACATACTTATATGAATTCTATCCTCAACTACTGCTGAGCTCGAATCGCTATGCTAATTAATATGTAAATAGATACTATAACAACTACACTACATAACCAGTCATACATTTTAATATCATTATTACATTTATTTATTTATATTTTAAAATAAGTCGGTTAATGAGTCATAGTTGACATGTTTTGTTGAATTCTTATATCAATAATAGGAAAGCTAAAAATAAAGAACATTTAGGGACTCAAGATAGTACTATAAAATCTGATGAGAAAATGTCAACAAAAGTAAAATATTAGTATTTTGAATGTCAAACAACACAAACGAGACATAAGACAAAGATAAGGACAGTTTACAAAAGAATTTCTTAATTCTTTGACCTTTACAATTATACCAGCATAAGTATATTATGTGGTTTATAATCGTTAAATAAAATAAGTGTCCTGTGTCCTTGCACTATACTGTGTAGAGGTTACCTAATACGTAATTTGTTTACGGAAAATTAATATAAGAGCAATGCTTTAAAAAAACGTCCTTCTTAAAACTAAATTTAATTAAACGCAGTATTTTTTTAGTCTTATTCAAAAGTATAATTTAAAATTAATATAATATTATTATGCAAGTATGCATGAGTCAGTTAAAGTGTTGAAGAGTGAATATAATATAAATAATGAAGATAACTCCATTTTTACAACTTTTTTACCAGTAGAAAATTGGTACACTTACTGTGCAATTAAAATTATGAGACACATGTATCACACTTTTTCCAAAATCATCCCCCTAACAGAGTCAAATAGGGCTTTGAAAATCCTACACGGCATGATAGACGGGACGTGGCACATGGCGCACGGCGTGCGAAGAAGCTGGGGTATTTCTGTAGGTATTAATTTTAATTGGCTAATTACAATTTTTTAACGTCCCACTGCTGGGTACGGGCCTCACTTCAGTACGAGGGGCATCAGGCCATAGTCCACCACGCTGGCCAAGTGTGGGTTGGCAGACTTCATATGATGTCTTTTGAAAACTTGATAGGTCTCTCAGACATGCAGGTTTTCCTCACGATGTTTTCCTTCACCTTTAAGACATGTGGAAGTTAATATAAAACATGTTGGATAAAACAATAAAACGTGTTGGAAATGATTCCCACAATAAAATATCAGAGGTGCGAGACCCGGGATTTGAACCCACTTCACTCGGTTTCCCAAGCAAGCGCCTTACCACTGAGCTTCCACTGTCCATTATTAATTACTTATAACAAAAAGGCAAAAACATTGCTTTTTCTGTAGTTTGAACGCGAGCGCAGCCCCAAATTCCGCTTGTAATAAATTAAGTCGTTTTGTTCGTTGTTTAAGGCTAGTTATTAGACCAGTTTATGTCGAGTTTTTACTCCGCAAAGAATGATAAAACAAAATTATGGCAAAACAATGTTGACTCTCGTGCTGTTAGGTTGTGTGTGCTTCGGAACACTAGTATCCGGTGCAGGTCCAGGTTCGTGCACCGGAGCTGGATCATGTACTGGACAGGGTTCAGGATCGGGGACAGGAACGTGTACTGGAGCCGGTTCGTGTAGCGGATTCCGAAGCGGCGGAGGCACGGGTTCTTGCACTGGGACCAATTCGTGTGCTGCTCCGTACTCGGGCATGTGTACTGGTTGTTGTACTGTTGCAAATTCATGTTCTTGAATTTATAGTATCATGTCATGTGTCATTCGGGTGTGAACTATTCAATAAAAATCAAAATTCTAATAAAATGTTTGTTTTGTTATAAAATTGTAATACAATAAATTTCTATCTATATCTTTTACTTTTTTTTCTTCTTATATATATATATATATATATATATAATATATATATATATATAGGTATAATAACTTGTCCTGACTGTGTCATCATCGCAGAGCCTAAACTACAGGGGTTAAAAACTTGAAATTTTGGCAGTTGATGCATCTTATCATGTAAACTTCTACTAAGAAAGGATTTTTGGAAATAAGGGATGAAAGTTTGTATAAAAGCCTGTTATTTTTAATGTTGATAAAGTTTCCATCGGAAATAAATTGTTTATGATCAGAATTACTTGAAACTTAACATTAATGCTCTTCAATAAAATTAAATAAACAAGATTTTAGAATTTTTCGAAATTCATCCAATTAAGGGATGAAAGATTTAATGATATGTAACTCTGCCGTTCTTGATGTGAAATGCATGGAAAGTGGTATTTAAGTTTAAAGTTAAGTAAAACAATAAGTATATCAGATTTTTTTTTTAAATTCATGTCTTAAAGAAGTAAAAATTAAAATGGGCAAAAAATAATTTACGATTAGAATTCCTTGAAACTTGGTATCAATGCTCTTCAGTACAATTTAATAAATACTTATGTGTTTAAGCATTTGTCGAAATTCCTCGCTTAAGGGGTTAAAAGATTTTTTACAATCAACAATTGTTCAAAATGAGTAGGTAATCTTATTTATAGTTACGAGTATTTTAGTATAAAATAAAACAACTAAGTAATTATGTAGCTGCCTACTGGTAATTTTAGGTAAGCCAGAATTTAAATACCTATTGTGTATTTTAACTTGTTTTGTTTTATTTCCTTTGTTTTCTTTTATAAAGATCCAATTTAGGTAAGTTTCTTTACGAGCTTCAAATAATCGTTAAAAGAATTAAACGTATCTCTAAAACATAAATTAAAAAAAGATTCCATAAGTAATAATACTGTTCTACATCGTAAAATAAAGGAATCGTACCTACAAAGGCAACAATTTTTTGTTTTTTGGAAACAATAGCATACCGGCTGTCCGTTATATAAAGATAAAGCGCGTATCTATACATATTTTGTTTTGTAGCATTCTAAGACAATATTTTAAAAATATAATTTGTACCTAATTGTCATAATGGCCTTGAGAGGCCTTACAAAAGTATCTACAATATTGCGCAGTGGCAGCTCGTAGACCGATACCTCAGCTTTTATCGCCATCTATCATTTAGAGCCTTTACATTTACAACTAGAGGTGCTAGATGTCGCTTTTTTTCAATTCTCACTTACGCCATCTATTGTCCATTATTGGAAAAAATTGCCCGCTGAGTAGCCCGAATCAGCGATGTCCAAATATTTGTATGGGATGCGCTATCTGTACTAGTATAGCATTATAATATGTGCTTATGGGTTTTAATATGAGGACAAACACTTTCTTCAAATCGCTATCAATAGATAATATATTATAACTTTTGACTTACATTTCGTTCGGAAGCATATCTATCATGGGTGTTTTAGAACCGCAGAGTGGACAAGCATTCAAAAATATTGAAATTTTTATTACAAATTTTTGGGTCAAGAACCTTTGATGTACCTATACTCTTAAAGGTTTATAAATATATAGATATATTTATATAGATGTAGTTTTTTATTTATCACAGTAATTAGTAAGATTAGTTCAATAAATTCTTACAATATCAAATATCTCTATTACCGTCTAATACACAGATAAGTAAAGTAAAAGGTGTTAGTGACGACAACTGTTTATTACATTGCGTTTGGTGTTTTTCCCTCATACATTAAGCTGTGACGCAAAATCTCAAAAAACCAGCTCAACTACAGAAATACAGCGGCAAAATACCAGATTTTAACACTTGTAATAATACTTTTGTATTTCTATTTATAAATTGTGCTATGTTATTGAAGGTCATAAAGATCTGTAGCAGTGATTTGTAAGATTGGTCGCTGGTACATTTCCTGCACTAATGTAAGAAAGTATTATAGGTATACACGAGTACCAATATAATTGCGAATTATTAGACGTCTAAAACCTTAGTCTTTTGATTGCTGTAAACTGTAAAGCATTCGAAACGTCGTGAATCAAAAATCAAAATAAATCCCGAAAAAAGTCCGCAAAGAGAGGTATATACATACTTATATGAATTGTATCCTCAACTACAGCTGAGATCGAATCGCTATGCTAATTAATATTTAAATAGTATACTATACCAACTTAGACATTAGAAAAAAATTGACAACGTCAAAACAAAATTTATTGTGTAATCAAAATTTATTTTAAAGTCTATCCGAAAATTAAAACAGTAAAAATTAAGTTATAGTATAAAAAATGTTTTAAAAGACAACAAAATCGGAAGGGCATAATAAATACAAGACTTCCACGATACCATCCAGATAAAGAGAGACAATAGCATTCCCAAGGAGGGTTGACGTCAGGCAGGCGGCCGGTCGTAAAACTTTTGTCAAATCCTATCAGCAGTACAAAAGATGTACTGCGCCGACCACAAGCGATTGGGAAATGGACAGGGGAGACACTATAACAACTAAGTACACTACATAACCAGTAATACATTTTAATATCATTATTACATTTATTTATTTATATTTTAATTAAAGTCGGTTAATGAGTCATAGTTGACATGTTTTGTTGAATTTTTATATCAATAATAGGAAAGCTAAAAATAAAGAACATTTAAGGACTTAAGATAGTGCTATAAAATTTGATGAGAAAATGTCAACGAAAGTAAAATATTAATATTTTAAATGTAGGAGAAATCAACCTTACAAAGACTTAAGGCACAAGACAAACGAGACATAAGACAAAGGAGATACATACATAAGGACAGTATACCAAAGAAATACTTAATTCTTTAACCTTTACAATTATACCAGCCTAAGTATATTATGTGATTAAATGAATATGATGGTTAAATGAAATAAGTGTCCTGTGTCCTTGCACTATACTGTGTAGAGGTTACGTATTATACGTAATTTGTTTACGGAAAATTAATATATGAGCAAATTTTACATTATTACGAGGAAGTGGCTTCTGCTATTCTGTTCTCTTCTTATTCATTGAATTACTATATAATCAATATCTATACATATAATAAAATTGTAACTATGCCGAATACAGATTCAATGTACAGACATTAAATATTTATTGGAAAATTTTGTTGAAATACACTTTAGTGTCGATACAGAGGCCGAATCTATAGGTTTTAGAATTTTTGTCTGTCTGTCTGTTACCGCTTTACAGAAAAACAATGGATAGATTTTGATGAAATTTGATATGATGATAGCCGGTTATCCGGGTCAACATTACGATACTTTTTATTGTGGGAAAATATGTTATCTCTGTGAAATCTATACTAAAAGTTAAAACGTACGCAGGGACGAACCCGAGCGGAGCAGGGGTAAGTCGCTAGTATTATTATAAAAAGAGTTTTATTTTGATTATTTATGGATGTATGAATTATATATTTTACTTTATATATATATGATATTGCGTGATTGAATGATAACATCTAAAAATCAGCATTTTTATCATTATATATAAAGATTTTTTTTTGCTTAGGGGTAGAATTAAATAATTAATTTAAATTTTTAGTTTGATCATCTTTGAAAACGTTCAAGAACTGACGAATATAGTTATTTTTTACCCGACACTCACTGTAAAAGAAAAAAGGTTATTTTTTCGTTATTTTTTTAACTTTTTCAAAATTGCAGTAATGCAATATTAATGTGAAAGTTGTGTAGAAAATGACTGTATTCGTCTATTCTTGAATGTTTTCAAAGAAGATCACTCGTAAATAAATTTTCCATTCAAACCAAAAATTTAAATTAATATTTCAAAAATTGATTTTTTTATAAGCTACAAATTCTAAGTTTCAAGGAATTCTGATCATAAATAATTTTTTGCCATAATAATAAATTTTTATTAGTAATAAAACAAACATTTCATTAGAATTTTGATTTTTTATTGAATAATTCACACTTGAATGATACTGTACAGTTGTTCCTAACATGTATTTGCAACTGTACAACACATGTCACAGCTTCCCGAGTCCGGAGAAGCACACGAACCGGCTCCAGTGCAAGAACCCGTGCCTCCGCCGCTTCGGGGTCCACTGCACGAAAATGCTCCAGTGCACGAACCCGTGCCTGCGCCGCTATACGCCCCTGAACAGGAATTGGCTCCAGTACACGTTCCTGTCCCTGATCCCGAACCCTGTCCAGTACATGATCCAGCTCCGGTGCACGAACCTGGACCTCTACAGGACACTAGTGTTCCGAAGCACAGACACCCTAACAACAGGAGAGACAACATTGTTTTGCCATAATTTTATTTTATCATTCTTTACGGAGTTTAAAATCGACATAACTTTATCAAATAAGCTAGCATTATCAAATAAGTAGTGGAAAAAAGAGATTATTTATTACTAGTGGAATCTGCCGTTACGCTTTCCATAAAAGTACAAAAAAACAAATTCTTTGGCCTTATGTTTTAAGTAATTAATAAAAAAACACCCCCCCCCCCCTTCTCCCCTTCCTCCGCACGCCCTGCACCACTTTGCGCGTCGTGCCTTGTAGGATTTTCAAAGTGAACTGTGATACACGTGTCTCATAATTTTAATTGTAGAGTATGTGTACCAATTTTTGAGTCAATCAATCCAGTATTGTAAGAGATCTCCATATAAATAAAAAAGAACATTCCCAAACCATTTTTAAAGAAAAAATTATTACCTATTGTTAATGGCTCTATCTTAATTATTTATATTGTACTCACTCTTTAATACTTTGACTGGTTCATGCATACTTGCTTAATATTATATCCATAATTATGAACTATATCGAAATCGTTAAAATTGA